TATTACTATGAGATCGGCCTTCTGATATGCATTATTGTTTGTACTTGCACACAGCTTGGAAGTATAGTACATCTTCATAGACTTTCACTAAAATGTAAAGGGTAAGCAAATTGTACGCTGATCTTATGTGGAGAATTTACAAGATAGAAAGCGGTAGGTGTTTGCCGCCTGGTTCTATAGAGTGCGGTAAAGTTTCTTTGAACAGTTTTTGAACGTCCAGTGTTCATATAAGTGGTATGAATGTTACTTTATTTATATTTTCGCTTTATTCAATACATTATTAATAAACTTTTTTGGAATCCACTATTAAATTAAATTCTAAAATATCAAAACATTTTGTATGAAACTAGTACTCTACATTACTATCTCAGTAAAAATGTGTATCATAGTAGTATATGTCTCATTAAGTAAATTCTTAGAACTTGTTTAAAACAACATATATGTCCTACTATCATGACTGTAAATTGTAAGCGATTAATCATCAATTTTGTTTTGTTACCAAATTTTTTGCAATGAACATAAATAAGTTTTGATCACAACAATCTTATTTTTTCATGTCAGAATTAATTTTAATTTACTAATAAATAACATAATCTCAAAATTATCATACAATTAATTTACACTCAATTACTGTATCAGCTAAAATTATAAGTTCAATATCGAGTTTCGACGAATTAAATGAAATTATTGATCGGAAAGACATTTTAAAAATAATATGGTTGATACCAAAACTGTTTTTTACTTTTAGAGCTGTCACAAATTCATTGAATTACATACATGGAATAAAAGATTTTTTTAAAGAAGCGAGGTTCTTTGTTAAGTTATTACATGTCTGCGGTAAAATAAAACTTTCATAACTAGGCACAACCTATAAATGATGAAGTATCCGATTATTTTAATTTTGTTCAATATTCTTTAATATCGGTCCCCTCAATTACGAGAAGCTCTCAAAACACAAAAAAGAGATCATATTTATATTATTATAAACCATATTATTGACGATTGGGATTAATGACATATGTATGTACATAGTAAACTTATTACATAAAACTCTATATAAATATAGTAACAAATGGGTGTACATAGTGCATTTATTCTACAATAATTTATAAGGATACTGTCGAATATAAAATATTACTACATTTAATAAATATATGTATACTTTATAAGTATGTTTTTACATCAGCATTTAATTATTGATATCGCGTTCCAAGTTATAAGACTGACACTAATTTCTTTATTTCAGTATTATGATCTCTTTCCAACACCGTACCAAACTCTTAATCTTATTGCTCTTTGTTACTGGTCTTACATTTTTCTTATGAAAACTCTTAATGGAATCAATGTAACTCGTGTATATGAAGTTAATTTTAACCGCTGTTAGATCGCCGGAACCGGAACGAAACAGTTACATTGCTTCATCTCCGTAACGGTAATATATTTACAGTATTTTCTGAGATCACAAGGATTTGTAGATTGATATAGAAATATAAATATTCATGACAACTCAATATTAATTTATTACGTTTTTGAGTCATGAAGTTACGTTGCTGATTGTAAGAAATTGTAACAAGCATCAATTTATAGTCAGATTTGTTGGAACATGCTAATATGTGTCAGCTAAACCGATCTACTAAGTACTATTATATTTATTTTTATTTCTATTTCAGTATTAAATATATAAAACACGAATAATAGTTGAAACTAGTAACAAATTCTATGCTTATTCGACTCTTAGGAAGGTTATTGTAGTATCTTATTACAACCAATATGCTGATATTTAGATGATCAACATACACACTCAAATCACAATATTTGATTTAAGTTGAAATCCACTGATTTTTGTCATAAGAAATTTCAATATCATAAGAAGACGATATTCTTTTTGTCATCTTGAAAAACCAAATTTCGTAACAAGTAAAAGTAAGGATAGTACTAAATAATGTTGAAACAAAAAAAACTGTCTTCATTCCGATCAATAATATCTTATGTGAATAAAACCAATGTAGTACTGACCACTGAGAAATTTTTCACATACAATTGTGAGGAAGGCTTTCGATAGTTAATTATTAATTTTAGTTCAATGTACATATAAATCTGCTGGCTAGCCTAAAAGCTTCAGAGTTTCTGTGTATTTGCTAAGTCTCTTTCACTTCATGCAGTAAAGAATTGAAAATGCTAAAGACAATTTAGATTTGACGAGTTCTATTTTAAGAGTTTTGTTAGCAATACTAATTGTGCTGTTATTGTAGGATTTAATGGCAATACCTACCTTAGTTAAACACTCTAGTACTCGAATTTATCATTAAAAAAAATCATAATTAAACCATACAACAATTTTCCCTAATAATTATATTAGAACACCTTGACTTTAATATGTAAAGAATGTATTTTCATTATGCAACCAGTTTATAAGAAAAAATATTATATACGTGGATATTCGCTCAAATGATTGTTCTGATTTAAATGTATTAGGTACTCATTTATTTGATTATTATAGAACTAATATTTTCGATCTAATTGTTACGGTAATCTTTTCTAAATGTTTGTAATAATTCTCAGACAGTTCTTAGAAAAAATTAAAATGTCAAAGAAATTTTTATAAAATTGAAAGTGCCTGAGTTAATTATGTATATTTTTCTTAATGTTTTATTAACACGTTTGAAATAAAAGTCATTTGTGTGACATTGTCTATTTGTTCTTCTTCTTCCTGGCAATTTCCCAGCTTTAGCCAGGGTCTGCCTTCCCACACAAACGCCTCCACTTTGCCCGGTCTTTGGCATCCTCGGTGGTTAATCCATTGGCTCTCATGTCCTGCTTCACGATGTCCAGCCATCGCTTCTTTGGGCGTCCTGGGGGTCTCGCTCCAGGGACACACATATCAAGGCAAATCCTCCCGACGTAGTTCTCAGGCCGGCGTGCAACGTGGCCATACCATCTCAGGCGACTCTCTTCAAGCTTATCCGCTACGTCACGGACTCCAAGACTACCTCGGATGAATGTGTTACGTATGCGGTCAGCCCGCGTAACGCCACACATCCACCTCAGCATCTTCATCTCCGTGACGTGAAGCTCTTGAGTGTGCCTGGACAGTACTGGCCAACATTCGCTGCCATATAAGAGAACCGGTCGGATTATGCTCTTATATATTAGTCCCTTGAGCTTGGGCGGTATTCTGCGGTCGCAGACCACACCTGTGACCTCACGCCATTTCGCCCAAGCAGCGCTGATCCGGGCTTGGACATCGTGATCGATGCCTCCGGACTCATGCAGAATAGATCCAAGATACCTGAACTTCTCCGACTTAACGGCTGGTTCAGGACCTATATGGATGGTGCAAGAGTCCGGGCTCCCGCAAGCCATGTACTCGGTCTTCGACACATTTAGTTTAAGACCACCGTTCTCAAGCGCACCCTTCCAAAGGTTCACTCTCCGCTCCAGCGTCAGCCGGTCCTCGTCAATGAGCGCTATGTCATCGGCATACATCATCAGCCATGGAGGCTGGTCCTGGATGTTAGCCGAGACGGTGTCCAGCACTACATTGAATAAGAACGGGCTAAGAGCCGAGCCTTGGTGCACCCCTACTGAGATCGGGAAGGGTTTTGTATCGCCAACAGCAGTCCTAACCATGGAAACGGAATCGCGGTACATGTCTCTGATGATGTCAATATAGGCCTCAGGGATCCCCTTGGTTCGCAAAGCCCACCAGATACATTGACGAGGCACGCAGTCAAAGGCCTTCTGCAGATCTAGGAATGCGACATGCAGAGCTCTCCTTTTTTCCCTGTATGCCTCCATCAGGGTTCTGATGGCAAAAATGGCGTCCAAGGTGCCCGATCCAGGCTGAAATCCATATTGACACTCCGAGACAGTACACTCTCGGCGGAGCCTGAGGTCGATCATGCGCTCAAAGAGCTTCATGGTGTGACTCATGATCTTAACGCCTCTATAACTACCGCAATCTTGAACACTGCCCCTGCCTTTGTAAATGGGGGTAATGAAGCTATAACGCCACTGATGTGGCATAGTCCCAGTGTTCAAGATGCGGTTGAAAAGGTCCGTCAGTATGAGCACACCAAGAGAGCCCAATGATTTCCACGCTTCGATCGGAATATCGTCAGGTCCCACCGCTTTCCGATTCTTCATGCGTCGAAGACAATTCCGAGTTTCATCAGGTGTTATCGGGGCAATAAGTCCAAGATTAGGAGGTGGTTCGGTAGGAAGACTGCACGGGTGCTGAGTATTTAGCAACTCCTTGAAGTAGCATCTCCATCTCTCCTTCACAGAGGCATGATTACACAGCAGCGTGCCCTGGGAATCTTTGACGCAAAGACATTTTGCGATATCTTGCGTCGCTTTATCCCGAGCTCGTGCCAATTTGTAAATGAGCTTCTGCCCCTCCGCAGTTTCAAGTGTATCATATAACGGTGATAACCTGTCACTGCGGGCTCTGGCAACAGCCCTTTTACTGGCACGTTTCGCTGCTATGTACTCTAGTCTGTCTTCAGGAGAGTGTGATTGCTGCCACTCCTTAAAGGCAGCCTTTTTTTTTGCGAATCACCTCCTGCACTTCGTCATTCACCACCACGTCTCCCTGTCGATGACCCGTCCCCCCCTAGAAAGACCTAAAACTCGTTTACCTGCTGTGATAATTGCTGACTGCACTCGATCCCAAGCTTCCTGAGCAGATTCGGTATGGGTCAACAGATTTTGACTCTCAACCGCTGCCCGAAAGTTGGTCTGCATCGTTCCATTCAGCAACCACCACCTGATCCGAGGCTCACGTTTCTCGGCTACTTTCTTTTTCGGGGTAACGACAAAGTCCATGACAAGAAGACGATGTTGGGCTGTCAGGCTTTCACCAGGAATGACTTTACAGTTAGTCACCTTGCCGATATGACACCGTCTGGTCAGCAGATAATCTAATTGGGTAGAGTGGGACCCACTTTTATACGTAATAAGGTGCTGCGAAGTCTTTTGGAAGAACGTGTTCACGACGGCTAAATCAGACGCAATACAGGTTCTGAGAATAGTTTTTCTCCCTCTGCATTGCGGCGACCATAACCAAAACCACCGTGTACACGCTCGTACGTATCCGCAGCCCTACCTACGTGGCCATTCAAGTCCCCCCCAACTATGATTACTTCAGCAGCTGGAATAGCGCGTAGAACCTCTTCTAATTGCTCCCAGAATGACTCTTTTTCCGACCCACTACATCCCGCCTGAGGAGTATAGGCACTGATCAAGTTAGTAATGACTCCCTCGATCAGTACCCGCACCCGCATCAGACGGTCGCAGCGGCGGTCGACTTCAAGAAGGCCATTCTGAAGCTCTTCAGATAGAACTACTGCTACACCAGCTTTACCTGAAGGCGACCCAGTGTATATCAGCCGGTAACCCTGTCCGATGTTGCGAGACTTATTGCCCTTCCAGCGAGTTTCCTGAAGGAACGCACACTGGACCCGACGTCTCATGAGTACATCTGCGAGTTCTCTGCATCGTCCGGTTAGAGAGCCAATGTTCCACGTTGCAAAGCGGAGTTTCCGTTTGGGTACTCGCGTCTTTAGCCGTGCCCGTACTTGACACGGTAGCCCTTGCCCACTTGTCACAGGTTTAGGGCGATGTGCCTGCGCGTCGTTTAACGGCGACGCCCTAGCCGTACCCAGTTCTTTGTCCTGTCTATCCATATTTAATGGCGAGTGGTTTTACTGGAGCGACTGCCGTCTGACCTCCAAAACCCCGTTAAACGGGTAAAACCAGGAAAGGATAAAGATAGAGAGGGGGAGGGGAAAGAGGATAGGAATGGGAATGAAGGGCAGGTACAGGACACCACCTTCATGGACTGGAGATAAGGTATGAAAGTGGTGGCTCGAGGATCCGGGGTCGCGCACCCGTATGCCCAAAACCAAATATCGGAAAAATACTTAGCAGGACACCCTCTGGATAAAACCCTCTGTCTATTTGTTGTTTAGACATTTCGCACACAGCCAATATTTTTCAAATAGATCGTATATAAAAAATCGACATTGGCAAAATATTCCACGATTCCAATGAAACTAAGACATAGCATAAAAAAATAGATCACATAATCCTAACTTGACGCTACTTTATATTTGCGATAATAACTTGTGTTGGTCGAATTCAAGAAATTTACTATAGATATCCATGGCGGGCATAAAGAAATAATTATAATCTTTACCTAGCTGCTAACTTTTTATTATTTGTATTTCTTTTTTTGTCAATTAATTAGCTATAAAACAAACTTTTCAACTTAAAACATACGCCAGATGTTTCAAACAACAGATATTGAATAATAATTAAAAGAATAGCCGTTAATAATTTTTTACCACAATCTTTTAATTATGAATTATTAATATTATCTTTACACCTTTCTTTTCTCAGACATTTGAAAGAAAAATTTTGTTGCATAGCAACACTAGGGTAAATATTTTTTTTATTTGTAAAGTTATTTTGACAACACTCAATAAAATGAGCACTCACTTTCTATTTCATAATTGTAATGAAAAAAAAAGATATTTCTCTAATACTGGAGATTAATTACAAAAAATATCGTCAATTTTAAGATCTACTTGAAATTATTTGAAAATGAAATTTAAAAGAGTCACTAATCAACAAAAATTTATGGCTCGTAAAAGCTTATCATGTTGAGAGAAGAAGGAAATTTGATTGACCAGTTTATGAAAAACACGCGTTACACATCAAAATGACTTGTTTAATTTATAATTCCATGTAATTTTTAATTGTTATTTATTTAAGCAGTGTTTGTTTGTGGTTAATAAAATGTATTTATACATAATATTTCTAGTAAACATAAGATTGGTCGCTGGAGAAATTGAGGGTTTTGTAGTAGGGGGTGATTATATAGACATTAACAGTTATCCACACTCAAATATGATGTATATAAATTGCACTACCACGTATCTATGCGGCGGTTCTTTTATCAATAATCGTGTCGTACTGACTGCCGCTCACTGCCTGTATCCATGCGTTGATCCAGCTAATGACATTTTAATCCTTAATTATGGACACGCTGCCATAGATAAAATGAAACATTTAAAAGTTCGTAGATTTCTAGTACATTACAAATACAGCGACATCTCTCTGGAAAACGACATCGGTTTGATATATTCAAATGCACCGGTAAAATTTGGGAAAAGTGTGAAACGTGTAGCGCTGCTGAGTATATTTCCAAGACGAGCAACTCACGGTTATGTTACAGGTTGGGGATTAGTTAATGTGAGTACGATTCTAATACGATAATTATATTAGATTTATAGAACTAGTTTTTCTTTTAATTATTGGAATAAGGGTAATTGCAACTTTAATATAGTGTATATAATCAAAATACTTATAAAATTTTGTTAGAATATTTCAAGTGTTATGTCCGAAATGACTGGGCAATAAACAGTTAACATTAACCTTTTAGTGTATTTTAAAATTAAGCTGAAAACTACTTAGCATGAGAAACATATTTTTATTGAAACATTGCAACGCTAAACCTTCTGATCTCTGCAGAGAGACCCTGAAGAACTGGCTACATCCATGAAATATGTTCACCAAGACATAATAAGACCCAGAGAATGCAGACGTGGAAACGTGCCTGCTGGAATCTTCTGTGGCCAATCCAAAAATGTTGAAGAATATCCAGAAATGTAATAAACTAGATTATTGTTATATTATCCTAATTCTGTAAGAGAAATAAAACGTGGCGTAGCATAAATGTGCCCCGAAATCGTGACTTTCGTTGACGCTAGAACCAGTCGTGTGAAATATTATCAAACAAAGTCAAGTGAAGCTGTGGTAGAAAAACTATAAAAAAACTGTGATAAAATATATACAGGGTGACTGGTGAATTACTATCGATATTTGAGGACGTGATATTTGACGATCATATATGACAAAATAAAAATTAATATAACATAAATATTAATAAACTTCTAAGTAAAGTTAACCAAAAGTTATGTAATTAATTACGCATCGTATGAACACCCTACAGATTAGGTATACACACACACTCACACAGACGCGGCGGCGGCGTAGTGTTGTATCAGCACGCCGCCGCACGCGTCCACACTTGGAACACTTGGAACGTGTACACACTTTATTTATTTATACGGAAATTTTGTCAAAAATTAAGTGCCTATTTTTTTTTACATAATTCGAATGAGAATCATGTACCGAGTATTCTCCTTAAATATTGATAGTAATTCACCAGTCACCCTGTATATTTTAAATTCCTTACAAAAACTTTATATCCGTCTTTGTAGTATGAAATCGTTACAATAATATTAATTTATTTACCTAAATCGGTGCTATAATACGCAGTTTTCATCTCTAAATAAATTGAACATTTTATATAAATATACAGTTAAATAAGAATTTAAAATAACAAACGCAAACTACAATTATTTGAATACGATTTTAAGATTTTCTAGATACAAAAATAAAATCTAACACGCATATAAATTGTGTCAGCGAATTTCTCTTACAGTAAATATATTCTTACTTAGTAGTTGAAGCAATTTGAACAAAACACTTCATGGTGATCAAATATCTTGATATTAAATTAAAAAAATATTGAACTAAATTTTTCTTCACATTCATGTCCTATATTCTAATACATTTTATCTTTTTTGTAACTTACACTAAACGAAAACTTTTCTTGCAGGGGTGATTCTGGAGGTGCCTTTGTAGTTTACAAATATATCCAAATAGGTATAGTCTCCTTCATGTTACCAAAAAACAATATCGTTGCTTATACAAACACTACTTATCATTACCGTTGGATAAAAACCAACACATTGCAACTTTTGTGCCGTTAAAATTGGAAATTTATTAAGATTATTGTACTTATTCAAATAAATTAATTTAAAAATAGTTATATTATTTTAGTTAAGTTCTTGTTTTAGGTGCAAAAACGAATATTCTATAAGAAAATTAGTATTGCTTGTTGAATATTATAAGTTGAGTAAGTTATCTCTATTAGTGTAATGTATTTGTCGAAAGATTTTCAAGTCTTTAAAATTTTCAATATTCACTGATGATGTTGTAGACACAGCAATACCTCTATATATCTCTCTAGATTATGCTCTATAATAGTTATATGTTTTATCCAAATATTATTATTTTTATCTTAAGTGGAAAAAGAATGTGAAAATCAATCATCTCATTATCTTTATTTAAAATGTTGTGTGTGTAATATGCATTACCTCTAAAATGGTGTTCACATATAATTTAGTAAGGACTTTCCTCCACTTAGAACGTAGAAACGTTAACAATGAGTCAATAAAAAATACAGTTTGAGTCATCAACTCACAGCGCCATCTAGTTTGTATCTTGTAACTTTGTGCAAATTAACAAATTTATATCGTGTTACCTCTTTAAGAACCCAAGATATTTGTTAAATATTACATGAAAAATTACTTAATTGATAGACTTACTTAGAAACCGTTCAGTAATTTATAACTGAAAAAAGAAACATCCATACGTCCTCATATTGTTAAGATTTATTCTTGTAATTAAATTTTGTACATAAAATAATAAGTCTTCAATAAAATTAAACAGGTGAAATGGATATTAAAAAAAATACTCTTTAGCAGAAAAATAATTACTCAACTAATAATGCAAATATGGTAAAGTATAAAATTTCTATTAATATGAACTATTATAGTGTGTCGTGGCACAGGATTTGAAACTTGTAAAAGTTTTAGTTGATTCTGAATGTTAGATATGAGTCACAGAAGATGTGATGGTCTGCTCATCTTCCACTTAAACACCTCTAATTCTTAGCATTCATTGGATTCACCGTGTGTGTGCTGGGTCCATCGCGTTGCTGAGAGAGGAGCTTCAACAGTGCCTGGGACTTGCGACCCAGGTTGTATGTTCAGTCCACGAAGGAGGCATCTCAGCGGGAAAGGGAGAGGGCGGCTGATGCTCCCTCCCCCCGCAGGCGACGTACGGGGGTGCGACGGAGGCAATTCCTACGCCTCCAATAGCACCCCTGTGTTCCGGGCTGGGGTCGGCGTGGTAACCCGGCCCTATTGAAAGTCCGGCGTCGTCGGAGTGGTCCTAATTGCCGGGATCGCCCCCATTCTCCGAGGGAGTAAGTCCGGTCTTTGCCAGGACCGGCCAGTCGCTGGTGTGCCCTGTCGCTGACAGATCCGGGGTACACCGACATAGCGGCCGATGGCTTTCGCAGTGGTTTTAGTGAGTAGGGGCCTGCCCAGGCCGAGCCTCACACATCCCTTCCGGCCTCACCAAGGCCGGTTGGACGGCTCGTAAAAAGAGTTTCCACTACGTCATCAAAAAAAAAAAAGATTGTATGTTCAAGTTGCCACTATCTAATGCGCGTTAATCGCTCATCTCCACTAAAAATTTGTAAAACATTGTATTAATAAGCAGATATGCAATTTTTAATTCGAATATAAAATGAATAACACATTTTTACGTACACGATCACATTTTTATTATTATTAATTTATTATTTACATCGAATAATACTTATCTGTATCTATAATACTTCGTTTTAAGTAGATATAGTTGTAGGCTTGCTGCGTATGTTCGCCAGATAGATAGAATTCCTTCTAATGAATCATCCCCGTTTCAAAATAAAACATTATTATTTGCTCTTTGCTGATGTTGGAATGCGCCATGAAATTGAAAATGAAATTTTCGTTGAACGTTACAGAACATAAATCAAAACGTCTTAATTTGCTAATTATTTATAGATACTAAATTGTAGAAATTTAAATTGATTCGTAATTACAAACATTTTATAGATCTCAAAGTGAATTAGCAGTAAAATTGTAAGTTATTACCTCAATAAATACTTACGTCTTGTCCTTTTTCAGCAAACACATTCCTTTCTTGTAAAATGCTGATAAAAGTTATAGCATTATTTCTGTTTACAAATTCAGTTTCATCTGAATCAAATGATTTAGAAGGGAGGATAGTCAGAGGAGACAAAAGTTCAATCGAGGACTTCCCATATTCAGCGTTTCTGTTGATGAGTAAAGAAAGAGGAAGTTTTATCTGCGGTTCTTCTATTATCAATCAGAGAATTTTACTGACGGCAGCACATTGTGTCGAAGTGTGCAGTCCTAAGTGTAAGAACGGAGCAGCGTTTTTTGGAAATGAAATAAAGAGGATGGGACTTAAAATAACAATTCCATTTGCGATATACCACCCTAAATATAGAACAACTCGTGTGCACTTTGATATAGGTCTCGCTTTACTATCTAGACCATTGAAGTTTGGTAAATTAGTTAAACGGGTAGCCATTTCAAGGCGTCCTAAGATAAAAACTGCCGCTGATATAGCCGGTTGGGGCTTAGTTGATGTAAGGTTCTGTCGATATCTTTTATTCCACTTTTATATGTTTTTCTGTAATCACATATAAACCAGATTTATAAATTTTGATACATATTAAGAGTACCATCATTATTTTTATTACTGTGTTGCTTTTTTCCATATAAAGTATGTTATAGATAACATAATATTTATATACATATAATGTTAGTAAGGTGTACTAATTTGTTTAATTTTAATAGAAAAAAAGTAAACAATTTTATATATATTTTCAGGAAATAAACAAATTGTCAACAGATTATTTGCATCACATAAAGCAAAAGGTGATAAGTTATAGTGATTGTAAGTCCTATATATCCAATATTCCTCCAGGTGTTTTCTGCGCTGGTGGAATTAAGAGCAAGCAGTTTGCATCAGAGTAAGTATAATATTTTTTTATACTATGCATATGTATCTGAAGTGAATACTTCCTTTCATGTTTTTAGTATCTAAATAAGCTGCTAAAGAAATTTTCGTATGCAAAATATTATCAGTAACCATTCTGTCTTAGTCAAGCTAATTATTTTTGAATAATTCAAAAATATCCATAAATAGCTTATAAAATTATTATTGTCTTAGAAACCTCTAAAAAAAGAATATGGAAGGCCTCCAATCAATTATAAAGATTAACAAATGTAATAAATTAGACTCTTTAGCGTTTTGCATGTCTAACAATATGATACAAAGTTATAAATTAAATTATTATTGATATTGTACAGTAAAGATATACCTCGCGTTGTTTATTTTGCTCTACGTTTACGTAACTTTACCATTAACCGTGATCATTGAAAGGAGAGATGAAAGTATCTGTCGTTTAGACCTGTATCTATGTCATTTACTTCCAAACAGGACATTTAATTAATTAACACATTTAATATTTCTTGAATGACACAATATATTTTTTATTCCTCAGATCGCTCGTAAATTATTTTTCCTTTAATTTTTATAATATTATCCTACTTTTGTAAAGGGGTTTCATTCTATATAATTTAATTATGTTTTAAAAGCTATCGGCACTGGTCTAATAGTTATCTGATAAATTTTAGAAAATCAATCCAGCGTACATTAATATTACGAATTGTTTTAATAATTTTATGAAGTCAGACTTAAAAATAATTTTAATATATTGTTTTTTTCAGAGGGGATTCTGGCAGTGCTTTAATAATTAATAGGTACATGCAAATAGGTATCGTGTCATACAAACGGCCTGACATATCAGCCAGTCTTATTGTATATACAAACGTGTCATACTATTACGACTGGATAAAAAAAACATCGAGAAAATTGTATTGTGACTATAAACGTTAAGTAGTAATTAATTCATAAATTTTGTATTAATTAAATAGAATTTATTTTTTAGTATAAATCCTTTATTTAAATAGCATATATTTTACCAACACACCTTCAATATGTTTTATCAAAATTAAGTGAAATCAAATCTTTTAGGGTTTTTTTTTATCATCTTGAACGACAATAACAATATCAGGAAACGATTATAATATAAAATGTATACGTAATAGATAAAATAATTCCGTCCTTTGTAAGATATAATGGAGATGATAACTAAAAAATCAGAAAATATTTTGCTTTACATTTTCAATAGAAAATGAGCTATTTGTTTTTAAAATGTTTACCGCCGTTCATCAATGTGTCACTAGCAGTCTAGAAAAATATAAATAAAGAACAGGCTTGGTAAAAAATATTTTAAAAATAGGATATCAATTTAATTGAAAATTATTGAATAATCGAAACACCAGAATCCAAATAGGAAGCTTAATTAAATAGATTCTCATTGAACCATTAAATAGAATTATTATAATTTATAAATATCTCTCTGCACACCTTATTATTATATATTTTTTTATAATTTGAAAATTAAAAATCGTTTAATACAATATATTTGTTAACATTATATATTTGAGAATGAGTCTATTATGTTAATCTCACCTCTTTTGAAAGCATACAACATTAAACGACAATAATCGAGTAACCAAACTAAAAAGTTCTTCCCAAAAGTAACCGAGCAGAAGTTAATAGACGTTTTCTTTTTCCTACTTGTTCCGAATAGAGTATCCATGTTTTTCTTAAAAGAATTATAAGCTGTCCATGCAGTTGTAATTACTCTGATTTTATTATTACTCAAAGGAAGTCATTGGTTGGAAAGTGAACATTTGAGGAGGGGCATGTCATTTATTCATTTCTTTATATGTATAACCTGAACCAGACACATCTTCAGTAGGGAAGGGTGATAAGTTTTATTAATTGCGTGTTTGATGATCTATTTTTCCCGACTACATAAGGATTGGACTCGCTAGGAGTCTGCTAGAAAGAAAAGAACGTTCAACGATAGCGAATGCCCCTAGTTTTAATATTGTAGTCTTAGTCAAATAAATAATATTTAGATATCATATCATTGACAGATAGAAGGATTTTACTCCTCGTAAACTGTATTGACAATGGCAACATAAGGCATCGCCCTAGTTTTCGATAATCTAAAACTGCCTTGCAGTTGCAGATAAATTAACTCGATATTTCAAAAGCGAAGAAATTAAAATGGTGTGAAAAAGTTACTTAAGAGGCAGTAAATATAGCACGCGTGAAACTCATCGTGACTAGACATGCTATATCCTATCTAGGAATAGCGCGTTGTATTTTACCTCTTATTAATTTTTTGGACGGTTTATTCTTACCTTGAAATATTTGTGGATGCGCATGACTATATCTTTTACTCAGGGTTCGTTTATAAGTCGTATTCCTTGCAACAAGTTTCTACAATTTTATGGGCTAATTGATTGCAACCATATGCTGCTTTGGTGGTGAAAACTAGGTTACCTAATCATCAGCATAACTTAGTAAAGCTTAGTGAATGACTAGTAGGTTCCGTAGTAATGGATAGAAAACGCTACCTGCTGTATGATGCCAAGAAATTCGTATGATCCTCCTAGCTTAAAGTTCGTTATCCAGCCTAAAGCTACATGGTTCTACTATAGATGTTCATAGATTTATACAAGTATAATATGTTGGTCAGTTTAGGTAGACCACGTAATATAAGTACATTAGGATCAACAACTTCCGTACATTTAAATGCGCTTTAAGAACAGTGACATCAAATACTCATCACAGATCTCGCAAGATAGATTAAAATATGGTATTAACAATTTCACGGAGACATGTGAACAATTCTGCGATATTAATACCTTCGATTGTTTATTATTAGTTAATAACAATAAAAGAATAATATAAATGACTAAGAATTTACTTGCAGTTATACAAAAATATATACATTTTGGAATATATTATTCAAAAGTCAGTTGTCGCCTAGTGGTTAAAGGCCCGCCTCTCATATATGAGGGCGCGGGTTCGATCCTGGCAAGTACCAATGTGATTTTTCCGAGTCATATGTACTTTCTGAGCGTATTTAGATACCACTGACAGACGGTGAAGGAAAATGTAGTGAGGAAACCTGGACTAAAAATTTCACAATTATAAGTTTAAAATCACCAACCCGTCTTGAGAAAGCCTGGTGATATTGCATTCCCAAAGAGGGTTAATGTCAGGCAGGCGGCGGTGGTAAAAACAATTAGCCAAAACTACATATTTACAACTTGTAAGGCAGACCCTGACTAAAGCCGGGAAATTGCCAGGTAGAAGAAGAATAATATATCTTCTATCTTCTATATACATATATAAAAATGGATTGCTGTTCCTTAGTCTCACTAAAACTCGAGAACAGCTGAACGGATTTATCTTATCTTAGTCTTGAAATGTTCGTGGAGGTTCAGGGAAGGTATAAAAGATGAAAAAAATTGATTCATTACTGGGAAAACCTTAAAAACAGCCCTTTTCTATTTCCCATACAAACGTTTTTTTTTTACATTAGATTTGACAATTAAATAATATGTCAATCATTCTGTCGCATTTCAAAACACGGAGATTTATGGCTTACAGGTAAACTCCAAAAATATAAATAAAAAAACGTTATAGATATTTCTTGATTATAGGGCGATACGAAGTTCGCCAGGTCTTCTAGTCTTCTATCTTCTATATTTATAAAAATGGATTGCTGTTCCTTAGTCTCGCTAAAACTCGAGAACAGCTGAACGGATTTATCTTATATTAGTCTTAAAATGTTAGTGGAGATTCAGGGAAGGTATAAAAGCTGAAAAAAATTGATTCATTACTGGGAAAACCATAAAAACAGCCCTTTTCTATTTCTCATACAAACGTTTTTTTTGACATTAGATTTGACAACTAACTAATATGTCAATCATTCTGTTGCACTTCAAAACACGGAGATTTATAGCTTTAATAGTTAAACTCCAAAAATATAAATAAAAAAACGTAATAGATATTTCTTGATTATAGGGCGATACGAAGTTCGCCAGGTCTTCTAGTCTTTAATATAATTTATTAAGAACTTGTACAATAAACAACTAAGGTCGATTTGAAATTTTATAATTATATTAAATAAAAGTGTCTAAAAGAGTCCCAGGCGTAAATTTCACAAGTCTTGAATAAGTGCTATAACTGGACAACAAAAGTATTTTAGGCTTTTGGATTTAGGCCTTCAGATAATTGCAAAGCAAAATTGTTTAATTCGAAATAATAGCAAACAAGATCTTTCCGGAATTCACTGTTTCGAACCCAACACACTCACAACAGTGCCTTATATTCAGAGGATGATAAAAAAGATTATTTTCCCTTCATTAAAATAATAAATTTATTAATAAAAATGACATCAAAAATGGTATTATTTAAATCGTAACGAATATTTATTATGGATAACATGAGGTAAGAGATTATCGATTTATTAAATTGTATAAAAAATAATTGTTAAAATAAAAGACAAATATTTTAAATCATGATGTCTAATACGATTGAAAATTCTATTCAATATTTATATATATTATATGGCAATAATAAGTTATTATAAATTGTAAAAATATATTTTTATATTTGTCCCCTTTTTGAAATATAAGATCGTTCTATTACTTGAAAAAGACAAAAATTACTAATTCAATAATCTCGCATGTCTCTGTTAACTACTTTATGTCTGGGGCTAAAACTCAAATAACATATATTTATATATTAATAATATAACTCAAATGTAATAAAGTAATTTACTTTAAAGAAGTTATACAGTTATTATATACAGTTTATCAAAAACAGATACGTCAAATACCATATTAAGTTCGACTCTTGAATAGATAATTTTTGATCTGTAAATTTAAGGATATTTTTAATAATATATTTAAAATATCCTTAAGATAAGGTTCTATCTTTGAATCTAAAAAATATATCTACATATCGATCGAAATTACTAAATTCCTACTAAATAAATATTAGTACATAATACTCGGCCTAAAATATATTTACAACTTAGTTGAACGCAATTTTAATTGCTTAATAAATTGAATTAATTAACATTTAAAATTTAAAGAATGTTCATAAAAAGCATCTGAAAAGATATGTAATAATTAAATATGAAAAATATATATGTTTTTATATAATCAATTTGCAAGATCGTGTTTTAAAATAAGTTGATAGACATTTAAATAATTCAGAAGTAATAACAATAAAAGTAATTTAAATACTTTTTTGAATATTTTCATTTCAATTATATCAAATATAAACTTTAAATCTTACTATTATAATTGTTAATCTACATCTGCTTGATCTAAATTAAAAGAATCACGTTGCTCTCCAAAAATGCCTGCATATTTCCTAAGAAATATTATTATTTTATATGATAGAAAATAATTAAATAAACAATTAATGCTGAAGAAGCTGTAGCGTCATAGAAATAAAATAAATGTATCTCAAGCATGACAAAGCTAAAAAAATCAAATATAACTGTTAGTATCATAAACGACTAATGACTAACGGGAAAGTATTCACCATTTATTTATAACACAGATATCTCGCTGTAGTAAGTTGCAGTGAATTATCAAAAAAACGAGTGAAGAAATGGGAGAAATATTACATTTTTACCACCGAAAGTTAAGAGAATAATTATTTTTAGAACGAGATCTAAGATTTTCTCGAGTATTCATTTAAATGAAACTAATATTTTTCGGATTACTACGAGTATTTTATTATTTTAAAACTACATACTCCCGACGTTTCGGTTACTTTTCAGCAACCGTGATCACGAGCAGAGGAGGTGTAGTCTGTCAGTTGGTCTTCTTATTTAAAGAATAATTTAAAATTATTTTTACAAACGAAGACAACAAGCAGTTTTAATTTTAATTTAACTTCGTAGTTTTATAATATTATGAAATTTTTAAAATACACTTTTATTTAACATCTCTATGACATTGTTTATTTTGGAGAAGATTTGTTATAGATCCTATAGGACATGTGAAATAGTAACAGATAGTAGTAGGAAAGACAGGCCCTTTTTATGGCAAAGTAATAATAGGTACCTGACGAAATTGGGTACTTGACAACTAGTCAAATTCAATACGTTTTAAAAATTGTCAAAAACGAAAGTTTTCTCTAAATTTTGTATCGAATAAGTGTTGTAACTTAATTTTTTGCGTATTCTTACGTTTTCAAATTTGATTCTGGTATAGATAAAGTACTATATTATAGATAAACTAACTTTGTTATAAATGTTATTAATGATGTTTTACAGGTTTTGGTTAATTTACTAGCTTTTTCTTTATTTAGGGGCAAGCACCGCCTTCAAAAAAGAACTTAGTTGGTAAGTTTATTAAAATCCGAAGTTATCGTTTTCATTTTTTTATTTTTTTCTAAACATAAATCTACTTAGGAAACTTATTTACATACAATTTTGATGTCGGTTGAATTAAATTATTTTTTTATTTTAATTATTAGGTATACAAAGCAAGTTCATAAATGTTTCTGATATTCCTGGCAATCGATGAGCTAGATCCTTATAAATCGTTCAAACAATCGCATGATATTCGTACAAAAAAATAAAAAATTGCCATTGCGTAGTAATCCAACAGGAATAATTGGTAATAATTTATAATCGTTATTCCTTCCTGAAAATTCCCTATCCCATAAACTACTGAACCGATATTAATGAAACTTACAGTACTCCTTAAGTTGAATAATACCTTGTACAACAAAAACAGAATTACATAAATAGAACTTGTTGTTTCAGAAACATAAGAACACAAAGATAAAAACATACATACATACACTTTTCAGATTATTCAAACGTTTATTCAGACGCTGGTATAGACAAATACATCCGACTACTGGGCAGTGTTGGAGACATTACATACGAATCGAATCGCTTACCTCTTTTGCTGTTCAAGTTGATTAAAAAGAGATTAAAAAATAAAAAACATGTTTTTTTATCCTTAGATATATCACAACCAATAAATGTATAATAACAATTTTATACAAAATATAAATGATCAAAAATATACTTAAAACAAAGTAGAAAATAAATATATATATATTAAAATAAAATAAATTTAAGTTATAATAATATAAACTGCTCAAAAATCCAGCTTGCAGGAGGACAGATTGACATTGAACTCATAAATTACTTTTGAAATCAAATTAATTACAGTCAAATCCACTTCAATCCCAAATTTAATTTCATCTATAAAATGTCGATAAACATTTTACTGCCAGATATCAGCAACCAATTAGGAAAATAATTAGTCGGTTAAGGATGTCGTACCTGATTTTTATGATCCTTATGCGACACTGCTTGGCCATTTCAAATCTAACAGCTCCTGAGGGTCGGATAGTGAAGGGTTATAAAGTAGGAATTCACCTTTACCCCCACTCTGTGTTTCTACATTTCCAATATGACATCCCGACAGCATGTGGTGCAACTCTGATTACGGATCAATCCGTAATCACTTCAGCGAACTGTCTCTATGAAATGGACAAACGGAACGGTAAAATTACTGCTTATCTTGGTGCCTCCATTCCAATAAACTCAAATGTCAAAAGGCAAGTGGAGATGTTTAGTATTCATGGACGATTCAATGCTGAAACGGGAAAGTTCAATTTGGGGATAGCTTGTCTTGATGATGCCGTGCCTCTGACAAGTGAAATTCAAAAAATACCGATAAGTTTAAAGCTTCCAAAAACTAATGAGGCTTTACATACAACTGGATGGGGTAAAGATGTTGTGAGTTAAAAGCATGTATTGTACATATATTTTTAATTAATTTAAAAAATAAGTCTTTATATTTCTCTTCAGCCAGGCAAGTTACCAGATTATAGTGATCTGCGACATTTAAAAGCTACTAAACAGAGAACCATATCTCCGAGGCAGTGTCAGAAGATTACTAAAAGTAGAATGACTCCTGCATTTTGGTGCACAATATCTATCAATGGATATCATTACCAGTCAGTATTCGTTTATTCTTATTTACCTATATATTTTCTTTTACCTTTAAGCAACGATGACGGGGAAAATTTCTCTGCATTCAATGAATACACGGTAACCGTGTGCCGGGTCCATCGCGTTGCAGGTAGAAGTTCTTTAACAGTGCCTGGGACTTGCGCCTTACGTGTAGGTTTAGGTTTCCCTAACAAACACGCCTTAAACGCACACCTCCATCGTATAAGCTCCTCTTTCCACCTAAGCAAATTCGAACCGAACCATTTAAGGCTTTCATTTTTAACACAAGGTGCTCTTAAATTCGCGATTACAAAAATATGTCTGGGATTTTATATTATTTTTCATATGTTTTCATTATTGTCCAATCCGAAGCCGCTCCTAAGCATAGAGTAATTCTTGAAGTTTTATTTTACAGCCAGTGCCTGTTCTCACTAAACCTATTGATTGCTTTGTTTGTGATTATATCTTTTTGCGCACTGGCTGCCGACTACCCGCTTCACGTATGTTTTCTAAAACCCTATAGTGACGCGAGATTTTGACCGTTATCCATGAGTATCTTTCATACCACGAGCAAATGCTTAGCAGTTTCAATTGCCTCTCCGTAGATGTAGCAAATATTTAGGTACTTTCACCCCATCTTACTAAATTACTCTGATCTTTGAGAGTCATTTGAAACATTGAGATAAAATTTTTTCAGTGCTGACGACCAATCATGAACAGAGGTGTGCCATTTTAGCTTTATGAGATGCACAAATTTCCTATGAACAACCATTATACTCGTACTGCATACTTGAACAAAAATTCAGAGTAAAAAATTTATCAATGGAATACAATTTTTACCTAAACCTTGCAAGATAAAAATAAAGAGTTTACAAAATATGATAAATAATAATTATAATTTAAGACTAATACTATATTTTTATTTTCAGTGGTGACGATGGCAATGGCCTAGTGAATTCTGAAAACCAACTAATAGCGGTTGTTTCTTATATGGTCAACGATATTACAGTATACTCGGACGTAATGCGGGAACAACTGTGGGTAGACACCGTAGTTATGGATCTATTTAAAAAATTGTGTAAAAAAAGAAAGATGTTATAGTTAACATGAAGGCAAGAAAATGTATATCAAAGTAAAAAGGTGCTTCTAATAATATTATGAATCGTAGAACTAAATGCATTGCCTACATGCCTACATAAGGCATGGCGCTTAAGGTAAAAATTATATTCCTTCGGTGTTACATTGAAAAATATTCTAATTATTATTTAATTTCTAAAAAAATAACATCCTCACTAACCGAGACAGCGATAATATTGTACCTTTATTACAAAAGAACGAATTGACTGAATTTTACATAATATTTATGACTAAAATAGTATAAAATATCTTTCGATACGATTTTTACAGTCGTCTTGATTTGTTTGAGATATAATTAATTTTTTTTGGTTCAGTTGTTATAGTTTCTTAATTATAAATGAATTTAATTGCATATCCCTTTTTCACTTCGTTTAAACTCATTACGTCATATTTCATTGTATAACAAATCTCCTTTGAGGCAAGCAACTTACAATTACAATTTACAATTACAACTTACAATATGTAACTTACAAAGAAATATTTTTTATAGATTACATTGCCACTCGTTTCAACGATCCCTTTAACATTTGAAATTGGTTTTACTTGTAACGTAGGTATTATTTAAATGTGTTAAAGTTATAAGAACAAGAAGAAAATTGATTGAAAAATCCAACAATAACAACCCAAACAATGTGTATGATTTATCTTTTTAGACAAAAGGCTATTCACAATCCACTAAAGACAATATATCCGAGTAGTTTTCTATAATTTCCTTCAATTTGACGCATAGATATGATTCTCATTTCTCTAAAATATAAACTTCATACAAGTTGTTGATCGTTATGAATTTTCTCTCGAAGTGTTCTTGTATTGTATTTGAACACTCTTTAATTGGTCACGGGAAGAATTTTCACTAGAAAAAAATACATAAGCCTTTTGATTGGTGATGTATTAATAAATACAGTATGTCGAACAAACTCGATAATTTTTAGTCTAGAAACAAGATCTTCCTGTTCAACTTACTCATAAAGAAGCTATAACAACTTTCTCAATAGAGTGTGTAGTGGCTGTTAAAATCGAAACTGTTAAAAAGTGTGATTATTCTGGTTAGAGTGCAAACATAACTTAAGAAACGACTTAGCGAAGAAGGTATTACTGATATGTTTAGTAAACTTTTAATTACAACAGGGGTCTAATAGCATAGAAGAAACTTACTTACTACAATAAAAATACTTGTCTTTTTTTATTTTGAGAAAATGGTACTTTGAAACGAAATTACACAAAGATAAAAATAAATCACCAACTCTAACAACCACATTGTTTATTAAAGATTCTATGAAGCTATTTTCTATAGACACTTAACAATAAAATATTTTACTACGACCTTTATCATCATAATGGTAACTATATGAACATACGTATCTATTTTCTTTAGTACAGCACCGTGGAAAGCAGTAAAAAAGTATGAAAATAAACTCTTAAAGATAACGCTAATTACGAACACTGAAAAACTTTAAACTTGTAAACGTTTATCTTGTGTTGTAAGAATTTATTGAGTTTGAAGGGAGGCTTGCGGAATAGTAATGAGGTGATAAGCGGCTGCGGGCTGCTTCCGTTACACGACCTCGTAACTTGACGGTTAAAATAATATTGAAACTGCTCCCGTATTCAATTATATTATTTTTAAAACAAAAATCGTACCTTTCAACGTAATATTTTCTCACTCGAACAGCTATTAAGTGGAACACGAGACTTTCCCATTTGTGCGAATCGATTTATCGATTGCACGTGTTATCGATTAGCTTGTATCGATAAGGTACCTATTAAGTATTACCCGCTAACTGAACGCAGATAGCTGCTTGTCTAGCGTCAATCGTGGCCGATGGAATCTCTTGCTGCTCGTACAACTTGTTTGCTTAAAATATAAACATATAAATAAAGTTAAAGTGTCTGTCCGAACAGAGTTTATACACTCAGTGCATATGACTTATGATACTTACAACTGAAATACAATTTAAAATTTATTATTCGTGTGTTTCTTCCACCTTCTGTAAAGGCTGAACAAATCTTGACTGTACTATTATTTGTAATCACATATATTACTGAAAAAAGAGAGTATATGCGATAACATTTCTTATTCTAATGATATTCTTTACCACAATGACTATATAAATTTAAGTCAGAACATACTTCTATTTTGTATTGAGATGTTTCCTACGAAACATTCAGTTTATTTTTATATTGTAATATTAATAAATCCTTCTTTTAAGCTAAGTGAATATACAGTATGATATTATTTATATCACAATAGAATCAATCATCTTAAAAGTACTTCCTCCGAGTCAAATACAGTACAGTCTCCATATATATTTGGTCATCACTTCCTGAACCAAAACGTGAGCTTCCCGACACACGGACATCTCCAGGGACTGGTCTTATAGGGCGAACAATGAACTTTATTCTTTTAGTATCAATACACAAATACTCGTATGTCCTAAAATTTTAACATGATATCTATAGAATTTTCCTTATTTTCTTATGCAAAATATAATAGCAATAAATGTTTCATCTTCTTATACTACAACTTAATAATTTCATATTCCCTCAGACATAAACAAAACAGATAAACCAAAAAAATAACTTGCAAATTATTTCATTTTCATTTCTCATTCCTTGTTTTAGATTTATTATTACTGTGATAATAATGTCTTAATGTGTTATTTCTCATACATAAAGAAGACGTTAATAGAATAAAAATAACAAAACCAGAGTTGTGTATAAAAATTGTTTTAGAAACCGACTCCATTTTGACGCACCGTTAAACATCTACATTACAACTGCGGTCCACTTTACAACTGCAAATTAACAAAATTACTTTCTAAAGCTCTGTTCACATTGCAATAGCGCGAGCGGAAGCGTAAGCGGAAGCGAGTAATAAAGCGTGATTGAATATTCATTCGCATACCATAATATTCGAATAATAAACGAATATATAATTTTTACTTTTATATATATATATAAAAAAATATTTTAATAGTCAATATATGTGCAATAAGATGCAAAATGAAGCTGTAATTTGTAAGTTTACTGATGAACTAATTAAATCTTACATCGGTCGGTCGGCGCGTGTTGTGAAAATAAAAATAATTCTATATAAATTCCAATGAAATATGGGATAAAATATAATTGATGACTAATAAATCTGCTACCCGCCACTTATCTGGTAGTCTGAAATAAAATAAGAGCTCGGGTTTTTATAAGCAAAAAGTGTAATAAGCGTTATTTCATTAAAAAAAACATCCTCACGGCCCGCTAAACAAGCTTTCTAGTAGCAAGTGGGACGTTGAAGACGTCTTAAACACAATAACTATACAATAACAACGCTACTGACATCGATAATGTTTATCAAAACTTGGTTTTCTTTTATTATTCATATAAATTTAACTTCAACTAATGCACAGCCGAATAAGTATTGCAGAAGATTTAATATTACCCATAATACAAGTAGAGGAGTAGACTGTTAAATAGCAATTTCTTATATAAATGATAGCGATTTAAAAACATTGTTAAGCAGCATTAAAACGCATTACCAGTATCTTCTGTCAGAGATAATAATAAATAAAATATATGGGACCGTTACCGCTTACTCGCATTTGCTTTCAGATGCATAATGTAATCTGTTCGATTATCTCTGTATAACCTATATTAGTAAATCGCTTGAACAATATGAACTAAGTCATTTTAAAACTACTGTTCTGTTCTGTTATACACTGTATTACTACACTTTACAATCGTATTTAACTGTTGTATTTTAAGATAACATCGAAAGTTATTACATTTTAATATATTAAGATATAAAGTATTGATAATATCTAAAGTAACTTATATTAAATATTATATTCATAAAACAAATATAAATCTTCGTGTATTTCGCAATCAAAAGTACATTTCAACACCTCGATCTGTTGACTTGTTAATGATGTCTAGTTAACAATGATATATGTATGCTTTATGATTCAAACGGAAATATACAAAAAAGAATACAAAAAAACTAAATACTAACAAAGTAATTATAAATAAATATCATATTTTGAACGTGGATTTGATGTAACCATTCCGAAACGCTGCTTGTAAATGATAATCTTCGTCTGTATAAGTACATTCAATTCTTCTTTTCTGTCCGTTATTTCGTAGTTCCGCCCAGCACCAGTGATGCCACTAAGAGACCACGGGACTATTATAATGAAACCCGTGAATTCTTCCAGTGCCATTGCCTGTGCATGGTGCGAGGATATCTTCGCATCTTCTATCACCATATGAACTTCCCACTCAACATGATATTAAGTAAAAACTGAAGAGTAATTTAAATTTTAATCTATATATTGCTTACAATATATAAGACATTCCCGATGTAATTGTAATACATTAATATATGTGCGTGGTGAGAACATTGAGATCACAATCGTGCGCGAGCGCACTGCGTGCAATTAAAATTAATGAGTAACCAAGTGTGGACTCCATTGGCGACACCGACGTGGGTTGAAAGCCTTTCCATTTGAACCGCTTCCATCAATTCAGCTCCATTCAGGTCTCTGAATGCAAATGGACATCTGGCAGCTTAAACCATTTAAGGTTAGGTTCATAATTTCATACATGACGTAGAGATTTAGTCTAAGCTGTATTTAAAAAATTAACTTACCTAATGAATTAAAGCTAAGTATATACGCATAGCAATTGTATTTTAAATAGTTTTTTTCATTAGAAGAATAGGAATTCAAATGAGAGCATGATGATCCGATCATACAAAAACCTCCAACCATTTAGCAAAATGTACGTAAATCTATAAAAAAATTGTATGAATAAAAAGTAAAACCACAAGTCAGTAACAGGCTACCCGACATCTGCATATCTTTACGGTAATTAAATCATGTGTCCGGCTCTTTATCACCGCTTCCTCAGACTTATGTAGCGGTTCGAAATGGTTCTATGCAAATGTCTGGTATAAGAAATTAAAATGCTTACAT